AGAAAGAGAAAGATACAGAATCCAGAGTTTGCACTTCTGGGGGGAGGAAAGGCATATTAACTAAAAATTGGTTAAGAGAGTTGTTCATATATTCCCCCAATGACTTTCTAAATTAACATAAAAACTGGATTATCATAATCTTTTTGCCTATATGAAAAGCATATAAGTTAAACATAACAAAACGAAGTTTTTAGAAGTGTGACTATTTAAGGTAGTTAATGCCTTTTAAACACTAAATCTGTCTTACTAACGTTTTGTGAAATGCTTGTTCTTGGATTTATATATGCCTACCATCTTTAGAAAGAAGTGATCTTCCTTGTCATGATTCCAAATTGTTTCTCAAGACAAGGCTTAATTACACTGTTAACATTCTTAACACTTTTTTTGTTTCTTTAAGTCATATAAGTGTTCATCTGGGACTAGGGAAATTCAAAGATCTCACCCACTTTTTATAATTATACACTAAGTAAGCAAATGGAAATTTAAAAGGAAGAAAGCACCTACCACACTAATTTTTGAAAATAATTAAAATTATTGAACATTCTTTCTGTTCCAGTGGACTGATGTGAAGAATAGGGAAAACAGTTACAAATTATAGCTACTTAAGGAATTGAAATCAAATTATTGTACTGCTTTTATTGTGTCATAAGCACATTAATAACTTAGAAAGCAGCACAGATAAAAGAGGAGCACACCGTTTCCTGCCCTCCCACCCACATGATTTTAAGCTTCTGACTGGTAGAGAAAAATGCAGGTTTCATTATATATGTACCTATGCCAATGATTGTTATGTTGGGGGTGGACACTCTTTAAGTAACTAATTTTCACAACCATCTAGCCTAGTTATTATGGACCAAGAAATAGAAGAATCAGGAGATAAAGCTCCAAAGATTACCAAGAAAATCAATGGCAAAATTTAGAACTGTCTTCATAATCAGGGAGTCCACAGGCCTAGGCTCCAACCCCAGTTTTGACACTTACCTACCAGTTGTTTGATTCTAAGGCAGTTAACTTTTTGGAACCTCAGTTTCTTTTTAAAAATTTATTTATTGATTTTTAGAGAAGGAGAGAAAGGGAGAGGGATAGAAATACCAATGAGAAACCTCATCGATCTGCTGCTTTCTGCACGCCCCCTATTGAGGATGGAGCCTGCAACCTGGGCATGTGCCTTGACCGGGAATCAAACTGTGACCTCTTGGTTGATGCTCAACCACTGAGCAACACCAGCTGAGCTGAACCTCTAAAATGGGTTGTTAGGTTGTTATATAGGGTAGTGATTAGTAGTTGAAATAATAAAAATTCTAGTTCCATCCTATTTCATGTGTGTTTGTCATATCGTTGTTAATAAAAGAGGTTCATTCCTATTAAACAAGCCCTTGCTTGTACCTACCACTGGATCCGGCTCTGCAGGGTGGTCCTGGGTGGGCTTCGGAATCCTGTCGATTACGCCAAGTAAATGTTGATGTAAGAAAAATTCAAACCTGTGGAGAATTTTTATGAGTTTATTTGAACCGAACCGATGACATATGCCAGGGAGCAAGATCTCCAATGATCCCTGGCTTTTGTTTTTAGGTTGATAATTAACCTCAAATTAGATAATTTTGGCTGAAGTGGGGAGCATGGATATTGAGAGGGGAGAAGAGAGAAGACTAGGAGAAGGCCCAACAGAGATGATGAGCACTTAAACTAGAACAATGGTATTAGGGATAGATACAAGAGGATGTCTTTGAGAAATATTTAGGAGCTATTTTCAGCAGGATTTAGTGGTTGATTAGAGGGGCTATGGATGGGTGAGTTAAAAGAAGTCAAGGGTGAATTATTTTTGGTTTAGGGTTGGATGGTAGGGACAGCAACTGACATAGGAAATATAGGAATGTTGGGTATAATGATTTAGAGATTCCATGTTCAATCCAAGTGGCTATCTCTAGGAGGAAATTAATATGTGCTAATTAATATAAATTTGGTATTCATCAACATATATTTTACTTTTACATTCTGGAGGTTTGGGAAATAGGCTCAGGTTAAGTAAACTTGGTATAGAATATGTCGTAGAAATTGCAATTAGAATTTATTAACTTATACTGAGGAATAATGAGGAATGAGTTACATGTAATTACATTTAATTAAATTACATTTAATGTAATCAGGTAGGGTTTAAGCTTGTCATTTTGCTATTGGTTTCTGTATGTCTTATGTCTTTATTGTTCCTTTGTTCCTTCATTTATTGCTTTTTTGCATTAACTAGGTATTATATATGAATATACATAACCTATATTTATAGTAAGCATGCATTTGTAAGTGTACATAAAAAAAGAAGGATACATATAGAAAGGGCTACAAGATTTTAAAAGGTATTATTTTGTTATTCATGGGATTATATTAATCATAACATTTTCAAAAAAACCACGATTTCCCACAATTGCTAAAGTTAAATCCAAATGTATGTATGTAAAGACATAGATAATATTTTTCTCTAATGACTTTGTAGACCCATGCTTCCATAACTTCCATCTCTTTACCATGACTGCCCTTCATCCTTCCCCAAAATTCAGCTTGCTTTTCTTTTTTTTTAATTAAAAAAAAAAATGAAGTGTCAGTAGGAACCTTGGTGGCATGTGAGCATAACCAAAAAGTATTTATTAGGTGTCACTTGTACGCACAATTTCCAAGAACGCAAAGCTCGATATAGAAAACCCAGACTCTACCAGTGCTTTACAACTAGATTGATGTCTTTAACTGTAAGACTGTCCAAAATTTCAAAATTCAATGTATAAACATGCAATAGAGTTTGATAGCCCTTGTATCCCACAGCTGGAAGAATAAGTAGTTGACCTTTAAGTAGTTTTCCGCTTCTTGGCAGATGGCCATTCAAATACATCTCGTACCCCAGCTGCCTTTTGTTTAAAGAACTTTGTGTTCTGGGCACTCTCTTGGCCCCATGCTGAATCAAAGGAGGTGGTGTCCTGATCCACAAGGTGGGTATATTTGGTACGACCAGAGCGCCCACAATTCTTGACCTGCATGACTTTGGGAAGAATTGTTTTGTTGAAATGAGCCTCCAGGGTAGGTGCGCTGAAATCTCTCTTGTATACTTCTTCATCCTCATCCATGAAGAAGGCACCCCGGTGATAATACTTCTGTAAGAACTTGTATTTGCCCTTAACAGCTTTGTTGGTAATAACTTTGCCATTTGCAGGAAGCTCAGCTCGCCTCTCTTCCTCAGTCAGGCTTCGCACGCGATCAATTTCTGCTTTCTCCGTCTCAAGCGCTTCTCGATCTTCTCTGTCCCTCTTGATTCTCTTTAGTTCTCGAACTTTCCATGCCTCATATTCCTCCTCACCATTTTCATCGTCAGTATTCAGTGCATCCAGGGCAGCCAGGGATCGCTTGTTTTCCTCCACCTCTCTCTTGGTCTCCTCTTCTACAATCTTGAGTGTATACTTGCGCCTCTCCTCGGCCCTGCGTTTAGCCTCCTGCTCCAGCTCCTTCTGTTCATGTTCTTGAACTGTTACTCGGTCCTTCTTTCAAATGAAGACCGGCTTAAGGCGAGGCTCCATCTCATCTTCACTGTCTGTTTACTCTTCATACTCGGACTCTGATTCTGACTCCTCCCCAGAACGCCCCTCATCTTCCACTTCCATGACTTCCATCTCTTCATTTTTTCTCTCCTCCTGTGCTCCTTGACGCATCATGCCACGGCGCCGCTCTGTTTCCTCATCATCAATTTCTTCCTCTTCTTCCTCACTGCTATCTTCTCGTTCCATGCGCCAAGCATCTCCTTCTACTTCTGAGTCACTTTCTCCTACGACTCCAGGTTCCACTATTTTCCGATGTCGAGCCAATCTCTCTTCCACATCTTCACTAATACGGTTCTGCAAACGCCGTAGTCGGGGGTCGCTAGATGAATCCTCCTCCTGTTCCTCAGGCTCTGCTTCTTGTTCTTTGGCTTTCTTTTTCTTTCTTTCTTTCTTTCTTTCTTTCTTTCTTTCTTTCTTTCTTTCTTTCTTTCTTTCTTTCTTTCTTTCTTTCTTTCTTTCTTTCTTTCTTTCTTTCTTTCTTTCTCTTTCTTTCTTTCTTTCTTTCTTTCTTTCTTTCTTTCTTCTCTCTCTCTCTCTCTCTCTCTCTCTCTCTCTCTCTCTCTCTCCCCCTCCCTCCCTCCCTCCCTCCCTTTCTTTCTTTTTTGTTTTGTTAAAAAAAAAATGTATTTTTCATTGCATTAAAAAAAAAACACCTGTTCAATATGCTCCCCCTCATGCAAACAGCTCTCATATGAGATTCTTCAGATTTTACGTTTTTTCCATTCTGGCTCATTCTTTGCTTCCTCATCATCAGATTCAACTTGTGCAAACATGGCTTTGGGCTGAGTCTTGGAATAGGCTGGAGAAACCCAGTACGGGTTGTCCTCCGCGGCCTTGGCATGGCGCAGGATGGCCTCCCGGGGCTTGCTGTCGTCGGTCTTATCCAAAGCAATGTTCTTCAGGATGTATGAGGACAGGGTGCCGCCGTGGGTTCCCACCCGGCCGCCACGACCTGGGCCCGCCACAGGAGGCTCGGGCTTGTGCGACTTCAGGGGGTCCAGTCTGTCCTTCTCCAGCTGCTTCCTGGTGCTCCACGGAACGTCGGCAAGGCGTGAGGGGTGATGATGTAGTCCTGGGTCAGAGTCTCGGCTTGCTTCGCCTTCCGCTGGGTTTTGACCACACATAATTTTGCTCCCCTCTGACTCTTGTTGGGGTCATAATAGACTTTCGCCAGCCGGTTTCCAGTTCCCACCATGATCTGGTTCAGCTTTGGATGCCACAGGCAGCGGACCACACTCGCGTCCGGGATGTCTATTTCATACACCCTCTGGAAAGTTCTGCGCTCAAAGAAAACGAGTTTGCCGCTGCCACATCCCCTTTGAACAGATGTGCCAGTTACTATGAGTTTATCATCTGGACTGAAACAGCAGTCAGTCATTGGAAACATGGTGGGAAGACCCGAGGCTGAAAAAAGTGGCTTATTAAACTGTCGGATGTCCCATAATTTTAATGTATCATCACCTCCACGAGAGGCAAGGACAGTACCATCATAGGAAAAAGCCACGCAAGAAGTGTCTGTACCCGGGTCATGAGCCTGTTTGTAGTGGAATTTAGGATGAACCGTCAGATTCCGGTCCCAGATCTGTATGCTTCCGTTCTGGCAGGCAGCTGCTATGAGGTTTCCATCTCTACTGTATGTGCACGTGGTGGGAATCACTTTTTTACCCTGCATCCTCCGTGGTTTAAACACACTTTTTTGTTTCTTTGGATTTTCAACTTCCCATGTCCTCACAGTCGCATCATTTGAGCAAGTCATAAATTCTCCCTTTATTTTGGGATGCCATGAGCCAGTATGAAGCATTGCTGTGTGACCCTTGGTGTTGGCCATGTCCACAATATACTGGTCTCCTTTTATACATCCCATTACTTCAAAACCATCTCTGTCAATCACTTTGGCTTGAGAGCTTCCGGATACAACAAGAATCATGTCTCCTGTGTTACTATACTGCAATGACTTGATCTGATGGCATTCACAGGGTTGAAGGGATCGAAATGCCTTAAAAGAAGCGTCCATTCCAGCAAAATCCCAAAACTTAACATCATAGTCGTATCCCCCTGTCACCAAGCGGGCACCTGAGGGGTCCAGACCCAAAGCAGAAACTGTTTTAGTGCCATGCTTCAGCGTTATTTCATGAGAATCAGGGATCTTTTGAACAGAATTTTCCTCTTCTGAATCACCACCACCACCACCATCATCATCATCATCACCATCTTCCTCTTCCTCATGAAGAGGTGGAGGTAAACGACCAATAGCTTGCTCCATACGATCAACAGGTTCTTCTGCCATGGTAGGGGGTAAAGGAGGGCCAATCAACTCATCATCAGAGGAATCAGAACTCGCTTCACTTCCACTACTGCTTGTATCACTGGAAGATGATTGAGAGCAATCTCTGACCACATCTGAGCCTGAAGATGTAGGTTCAATATCTTCATTTTGCCTTCTTAATTCTTTCTCTCTGTTCATTTCTTCCTCTTTTTCTCTTGCCTCCAGTGTTTTCCGACTTCTTTCCACAGCTGTTCTTCGAGTCTGTTCAAACATTGCTTCCAAATCAAATGTACGAGCTTTTTCCCCCGAACCCCGTGAAGCCCATGGTGACCGCCAGCTGCGGGTCTGGTCCCGACGTCTCAGCACCTTCGCTGGGCCCCGGGCGCTCCATCGCCGCCGCCTGCCCCAGAGCCAGCGGCAGCCCACACGGCTGCGCGGGCGCTGCGGCTTTGTCTTTCTTAATGAACTGAAATTCTTCATCCTCCTCATCTAAGGACTCCATAGGGGCAAAGTCTGGCCTCTTTCCCGACACATAACGTTTCACTTTCTCCATCGAAATCTCACCTTGCTCATTTCGGACCAGGACGGCCCCGGCCGTGGACTGAATGGGCGGCTGTTTCATGAGTGAGCTGGGGGCCGACATGTTCATGGCAGCGGCAGGACTCCGGGCACTTCCCTGATTCCAAGTAGTAAACAGCTATCAACGGTAGAGCATGAGACTATTAATCTCAGGGTCGTGGGTTCTTGCCCCACGTTGGGCGCCAATTGTTGGGGTCCAACCCCAGCAGGTCCAGGGGTTCCCAAAGGTGTGGACGGAGTCAGCGAAGAAGGAATGACACGGAGACAGTGTTCAGTTGATCAGCAGTCTAGCCAGATTCTCTAGCCAGGTTCTAGCCAGGATCTCCAGCCAGGTTCTGTGTTTATTTCTCCTGCTACATCTGTATTTATACCAGTTGATCTTAATCCTATCCATTCTTTTCCAAAGGTTAGAGCGTTTGTTATCTCCATCCCAGGGAGTAAAGATTATGTAGCTTAAGCGTGATTGTTCGTAGTTAAAGTGATTAACTACCCGCCTGGCACTCTGTTAAGGGGTTTTACTGATAAAAATCCCCACCTGGGGAAACAACCTTTCTCGGAGAGATGACCTTGGTTAAAACACATAGCGCTAAGAAGGGGAGCAAATATATTAAGAACAGTATGCCATATACGCCAGGTCCCTTGAATCATAAGCTGTGCAGATGTTTCTTCCCCGAAGCGACTGTGTCAAGCAGCAAGGGTGGTCCGGCTTCCGGCACATATCCAGACTATTGTAAATCTATTTAAATGATGTTTCTAAAGCATTTAGTGTATCTAGAGCAGGGGTGGGCAAACTTTTTGACTTGAGGGCCACAATGGGTTCTTAAACTGGACCAGAGGGCCGGAACAAAAGCATGGATGGAGTGTTTGTGTGAACTAATATAAATTCAAAGTAAACATCATTACATAAAAGGGTACGGTCTTTTTTTTTTTAGTTTTATTCATTTCAAACGGGCCGGATCCAGCCCAAGGGCCGTAGTTTGCCCACGGCTGATCTGGAGTATTTCCCTTGAAAAATATTTATGCTAAGTACTGTTAAGAGGGTAAAAATTCTGATTAAAAGCAATGTCTAAAATATTAATAATATTATTGCTTGGAGTCAAAAGGTACAAACTTATTAAAGTTAATGAAGGGGGTCAGTTTGTTGTCAGTTTGATTCAAATAAACTCTTATGGAAAATTCTCAAAAAATAAAGAAACAGAAATACCTGTGGGTCTGGGAGCTGCCAAGGGGGCTGGGGCCTGGTTCGGGCAGCCAGCAGGGCTTCCCAGGTTGTTTATGTTCTCCTTGAAAACAAGAAATTCATGTTAGATGGGTCATTTTCTTTCAGGTGTAAGCAAAGCACCCTCTAATTTGCTGTATCTTCAAAAAGTACTATAACTTTGGGAGGGAGGAATTCCTCCATTACTATGACAAAGCCCATGTTTCTAGTAAAGCAAAGGAAACACCCAGAATATTAATAGAGTTCATCTCTAGGCAGTGGAAGTACAGGATATTCTTTCCCTGACCCCCCCCTCCCCCGTTTTTCTGTATTTGATAGATTTGTAGTAAAAAGAAAGTATTATTCTTTTAATGAAAAGCTTTAACTAATCTGTATCATGAGCTCACAAAAGTCTCCAATCTACAGATTTAATAAAATAACACAAAATTAATTAAAGCACTAGGCTTCTTTGATTATACTAAATCCAAAAATAAAAAGAAATGTTGTTACATGGTTATGGGTCACTTTAATTTGCTAAGTTTTTTTTATAATGAGCATATTTTTTATAATTAGAAAAAATACATTCTTTTAAAAGGGTAGTAACATTTATTGGGTGACTATAAACACACATGTGCCCCTTGGATGTTTCATTCACTTCATCAAAAACATAGCCTAAGCTAGTTTTGGCTGCTTTAAGAAAGAATATGATGATGTTGTTAAGTATATGGACAGTATGAAACGTTAATACAAAATGTGAAAAGAAAATGTTCTATTCATTTTAGAGGCTTAAAAAATTAGGGAGCACATATCTTTAAATGTAGGTGTGTTAGAATAATTGCTTGACTTTGTATCTGGGAGCTGTGAGTTGCTTCTGTACACCAAGTAAAACATTAACTTTCTGATTTTTTTTTTTTTTTTTGCAACAACAAGATTACCAGTGTTTGTGAGAGCCTGCAGAGACAGCCTGCAAGGAAAATGAAGCTCCCTATTTTCATAGCAGATGCATTCACAGCAAAAGCATTTCGTGGAAATCCTGCTGCTGTTTGTCTCCTAGACAATGTGAGTATTAGTTTGGAAATGCAGTGCTTAGAATTCTAGATTCCCTGAGAACTAAATAGGTCTTTAAAAAAAAATCAGACCAGCTGTTTACCTCTTTGTGTTTTTTTGTCAAATGATACTAGCAACGTTCATGTCTGCAAATTGATTTAGGCGAGAAAGCTTACACCTACAAGTTTAATTCTAGAGAAATGAAGATTCACGTAGGGAGGGACTAGAGCTCCCTTTAGCCCTCAGGTTTTCACTTAGTTAGCACCAAATGTGGAGGAGAATAAAATTAGATGAGTTTTATGTGACTAGACATGGCTGATATTACATTTAGCATGAAAGATCCAAACTGCATATTTCTAATCTTACCTATAGTCCATGTAATTAGAGATTTTTTTTCAGGATGAAGAAATGAGATGTTTTGTAAGGAATAAAGTAGAAAGATAGAAGGAATTAAGCTCTAATATAGGGAGAACTTAGTTTACTGAAAGTCTCATTTTAAAAATGGCTTTTTGATTAGGTTAAGTTATTAACAGGTTAATTAAATATTCCCTGACCTTAAGTGCTTTGTGTTGGTCCCTGGGTATTATTAGGAAGCAAGCCAAAATACCCTTCCACTCAGAGCAGTTAGTGCCAGAGTATGTATACGTGAGAATTTTCAGAAACACAGCAAGCAATTCATGATGTTAAGTAAGTTACTAAGTTGGGCAAAGTGCGTGCTGGGGCATTCGTGTGCAGTGAATCCCAACCTGGCCTGCACACCAGAATCACAGAGGAGCTTTAACATTTCTGTGCTCAGGCCGCAGACCAAGCCAGTGACAGCAGAGTCTCTGGGGTGCGACCCAGGCTGCCCTGTTGGTCCGTCTCCGTGTGTGATTCCAGGGTGCAGTCACGGCGGAGAGAGGCCCAGGTTTTCCTGAGATAGGTGAATACTGTAAATTGAGTCCTTGATGCACTTATTTTCTTTCTCAAGGGGAGCAGCAAAATGGTGATCAGGAGTTCAAGAGTCCTCCGCTCACTTTAACAATGCATTCATTATGCAACCTTGCAGTTGGCACTAGCCAACCACACACTGCTGAAAGAAAGTAATAAAGTTAACAGGCTTTATCGAGTAACACAATAGTTTGCGAGGATTAGCAAGAGAGTAATTAACAACCAGATTCTAAGTCATGAACTTTCTTTAGAAATAATCTGGCAGCCCAGCTGGTGTGGCTCAGTGGTTGAGCATTGACCTATGAACCAGGAGGCCGTGGTTTGATTCCCAGTGAGGGCACATGCCTCTGCTGCAGGCTCACTCCCCAATGGGGGGCATGCAGGAGGTAGCCGATTGATGATTCTCATCATTGATGTTTCTATCTCTCTCTCCCTCTCCCTTCCTCTCTGAAATCAACAAAAATATATTTTTTTTAAAAAAAGAAACAATCTTTAAATACAACTCCACCTTGAGGAATTGTGAAATTGACTAAAGCTGCTTGTCTAGAATCTCAGTATATTTGCCCATGTTTCCATACGTAACATCCTTGAAGAGTTTTGAAAATAGTTTTAAGTGATTTATATACTAGATGACAAGGATCAGCATTATTCCTCATTCTTTTATCTCGTGTACTCATTAAGCAACAGGCTCAAGGATCTCTATCTCTCTCTACCTACCTACCTAACTCTATCTCTCTATCTACTTCCCCATTAAAATATATTTTACACGTTATTTATGTATTTGGAAAAACTAGGCAATAAAATTTTAACAAAGAACTTAACATAAAGCAAAATGCTTCAGTTCAAATGAAAGAAAGAAAAAGATGAGGAAGTCCATGGCTCGGGGACACTCGCTTGTCTCCCAATTCACTTCTGGGCCTTGGACCTGTGAGACTAGGCTAACTTGATGGCCTGTCAGAGACAACTGAATAGATATCTGAAGACTAGTTTGCTAGCTTTTCTATTCTGTGGACATGAGAGTCCTGTTCTCCTGGATGCTAATTTAACACTTTCCCCAATTCATAATCAATACAAATTATAAAGAAAGTGTCAACTATGTTTTCTGCCCTTGGATTCCTTACCCATGGCTGGAGACAGAGATCACTTGAAACACAAGTGAACTCAGGAAAATATCAGCGACAAACAGGGCTAAACCTTATAATGCTGACCGCAATTCCGGTGTTTAGCCTATCATCGACATATTCTACAAATATTTATCAACACCTGCCAGGAGCCAGGCTCTGGGCTAGGGCTGGGAGGTACAAAGATTAGTCAATTTGTCTGCCCTTGAGGTGCTCAAAGTCTAATGTAAGCCTCATCATTATTCAGAGGCTAAGGGACCCGAAGGTGCCAGGTGCAAAGGGAACTCAGAGAACAACGTTGGATTTTATGGAGGAGGACATACTTCAGATTTAAGTGCAGATATTCTTTTTTGTTTTGTTTAAAATTATTTAAAATTTGACCAAGATGAGACTAACTGTAGAGAAACTTGGTGGACAGTCTAAAGACCAGGTAATTGCTTTTTGAATACTTGATAACAGACTGCTGGAAGAAAATGTAGTCCCAAGAGCTTTTATAATTTTCTAAAGTTTTGTTTTGTTTTCCTTTAAGGACAAGTCCATTTTTAAAAAAATATATTTTATTGATTTTTTACAGAGAGGAAGGGAGAGAGATAGAGAGTCAGAAACATCGATGAGAGAGAAACATTGACCAGCTACCTCCTGCACACCCCCTACTGGGGATGTGCCCGCAACCCAGGTACATGCCCTTGACCGGAATCGAACCTGGGACCTTTCAGTCCGCAGGCCCGACGCTCTATCCACTGAGCCAAACCGGTTTCGGCAGGACAAGTCCATTTTTAATGTTCTCACATGAGGAACTTATAACACTGTACATTAGGTGGGGGAAAAAAACCAAATTAAGGGATAAATGGAACATATTTGAGTAAAATATTTAAAATCTTAAAAAACTGTGTGATAATCAGTTTGGCAATAAAGACCATATAGACACATGGAAAATGTATCAAAACAATATTTTAAAAATGAAATAGATACATTATGGTGTCAGCTGAGTAAAAAACTACAAAACTCATGACCAACTACTGGATAGGTCAGAGGACTGTGATAGTGCTCAGGGGTGATATTTTGTTTATTTTCCGGTAAACCAGCCTTCATAGTTAGTGAGAATAACAGATCAACAGGGTAAGGTATCCCATATTTATTCTTCTTCATATTCTAACAAAGCCATATATATATATATTGTGTGTGTGTGTGTGTGTGTGTGTAGCACAAGGTTTCTTAACTGCAGCGCTACTGACATTTTGGACTGGGTAGTTCTTTGTTGTATGAGACTGTCATGTACATCATAAAATGTTTACTAATATCCTGTCCTCTACCCACTAGATAACAGTAGTCCCCCCTTTTCTCTCAGTCATGGCAATCAAAAATTGCCCCCAGCTGTTCCTCCCCCCCCCCCGTCTGTTTCTCTCCATTCTTTTCTTAAAAAAAAAAAACACCCCCGAAAACCCTGGCTGGTGTGGTTCAGTTGGTTGGAGTGTTCTCCCCTGCACCAAAAGGTGGTGGGTTTAATTTCTGGTCAGGCTACAAGCCCAGGTTTCAGATTTGATTCCCAGTCAGAGCATATTTGGGAGGTGACTGATCGATGTTTATCTCTTTCTCTAAAAAAATAAAAATAAATAAAAAAGAAAAAAAATGGCCCTGAGGTTGAGATCCATTGCTTTGAGGCTACCTTTTTAAAAAGAAGTTTATATGAGTTTTTCTGTTAAAATTATTCATAGAAAACCTTTGTTGTGTGCCCAATATATACGTTTATTCCAATTTAACTGGCATTTACTGGTTGTTTAGTTATTATTCTTTTCATCACCAGTAATCATTGCCAGTGACAGCAAGGAGGATGGGTTTCACACTTTAAAAAAAAGCTGGTTTTAAAATTGATTTCAGAGAGGAAGGGAAAGGGAGAGAGATATAGAAACATCAATGATGAGAGAGAATCATTGATCAGCTGCTTCCTGCATGCCCCTCACTGGGATTGAGTCCGAAACCTGGGCATGTGCCCTGACCAGGAATTGAACTGTGAACTGGTTCATGGGTCAACACTCAACCACTGAGCCACACCCGCTGGGCTGGCTTAGAGGAATGCTTAGTTTTAGTTCCTGAACTATTTGTTGTTCCAGTTTTCCTTATTAAATTTAGAGAACACCCAAAACCCCTTTACAGCTTAGTGAGTTATGCATTTAAGGAAAAAAAACAGGTGTACAGCAAAACTCAGGCTCTAACTCATGTCAGGAGGCTTATCACTGCCCGTTTCCCAACTCTGTGCCCTTCCTTAGAGAGAGGCTCACGGGGTGTGACCACACCCGTCAGAGGCTCCTGGGGTTGCTAGGGAGTTTCAACCTCATATCTATTTTTATGCCCAGAAAAGAGATTGAGGAGTGCAGAGAAGATTCTTCTAGGGCACTGAAGGGTTTTCCTTTGCCCAGTGATGGAGGGGAGAGCAATGCAAAGTAGGAGATGTTAATGTAGAATTTCTGCTTCCCAAGTATCCTCATTGGCTTCCAGAACATAACCCTCAGCTTTGGGAACAGTGACTTCAGACACATTCAGCCCAATACTGTGCTAATTGCTTTTCACATGTTATCTCATTTCATCCTCACAACCACTCTATGAGTAGGTCTTATTATTATCACCCCCATTTTACAGATGCGGACCCAGAGGCAGAGGAAGGGGAAGTACTTTGTCAGAGGTCACACACTCCTCAGTGGCTGACTGCCTGGCTGCGGGGCCTGTGCTCTTAACCACTGTGCTCACTACCATCACTCTTTTTTAAAAAAAAATATTTTATTGATTTTTCACAGAGAGGAAGGGAGAGAGATAGAGAGTTAGAAACATCGATGAGAGAGAAACATCGATCAGCTGCCTCCTGCACACCTCCTACTGGGGATGTGCCCGCAACCAAGGTACATGCCCTTGACCGGAATCGAACCTGGGACCTTTCAGTCCGCAGGCCGACACTATACACTGAGC